CATTTTTTTCTTACAACATAATTGCCAAAGTCATACGCAATACGTGCATTGTGATCGCAGGCTTCGCTTAAATTTCCAGAAAGCAAATAATTTTCTGCGGCTATCTTAAACCAATTCGGTTCGCGTACACATCCACGGAATCTATTCATTACACTTGAAGCCATACAAAAATTATCATCATTTGTTACAGGTGTTCTCCTACAAAAGAACAAAAATATCTAATAAACACAAACAAATTTTCAAAAATTAAAACAATATAAATCTCTCAACTCTATTATAAAAAATCTTTTTTAGCTGAAAGAAAACTATTAAAATTGATGGCTCGCAATGTGGCACCTAAATTTATAACAATTTTATTCATTCTATTTATCTTGGATTTTTTTTATAATCGCAATATTTTTATATAATATAATATAATATAACAAAATGTTCACCTCATTAAATTACTCAGCTGCCTTGCAATACTTGCTGGTTCATATTTCACCTTGGAAGCACATGTAATGTCATGTTTTAAATTTATTGCAACACTTTGTGGATTCGCTTTACTGGCTGGTCTTACTGCATCATCAAAAACATGATGGTATAATGTACAATCCTGTAAAATGGAACATAAAGTAAATTGTGCTACATATTGTAATAGAAAAGCGAATAATGGTTGGCAGTATTACTCTGCTTGTTGATAGAAACGATTGCGGGTTGCCTCTCCATGCAACACCTGTAGGAACATCCTTATGCTCATTGAAACTCGCGAATGGAATGTACGGTCTGCGAATATCCCATACATTTATGCTACAATCAACGACTAGAGCACAGCTGGCTATGTGATACTTTTTCTGAGGTCTCCATTTTATACGTCCCACTGAGGCTATAGTATGTATAGTATAATCACAACTTGGTTTACCCAATAAATCCCATACCTTTAAAATTATAATGATATAAAGTGAGAAATTATACATTCCACAAAAAAGTTACATTAATATGTAGAAAATAAAGTACTTTGATAGTTTTGTCTCTGGATGCTGTAGCAAGCCAAGTAGCTTCTGGGTGCCAGTCACAGGCAAATATTGGACCACTATGTGCAGTAAAATGTTGAAAGTAACGCTCTGGTTTTCTCATATCCCACTGTTGTACATGACCATTCTCCGATACAGCAGCAAAAGTATGAGGCTGTTGTGGACAAAATTGGACATCTCTCACAGACTCTGTATTACTAAAAACGTGAATATATAATTATATAACAATCATTAAACTAAATGAAGTCTTTTTATTTAACCTTTAGACTGCCGGAAAACTACTTTTATGGCTCTTGAATTTGAGTTAAAATACTTTTAATGGTATTTTAAATACTAAATGTATCAAACATATATGTGCCCCAAACATGTATGTAGTCCTCGCAATAAAACGTAAAAAAAATATATTAAAAAATATACAAAAAATAAAAAAATATAAAAAAGTAAAAAATTATAAAACAAAAAAATAGTAAAAAAAATATTTAAAAAATTAAAAATTAAATAAAAAAGAAAATCAAAAAGGAGCTACAAACTTTCTACATCTACATCATAAACTTTGGATAATGCTAAAAGAAAGTTTTGAGTCTATACATTTACATTCATTTATGTTGTCAATGCGTTTAGGACTCGAAATTTTATAAATCTATGCTCAGAATTGAAATCAACGGTATCAAAAATCCCTAAAACTACACTATTTTTGAAAAGATAAACATTTTTTATATTTGATTCTTGCCGGGAAAGCCACTTTTGTGGCTCTGCACAAATCTCGAAATTTTGCATCATGTGTATATTATTTATATAGAAAAATTTTTGAGAAAAAAGAATCATTATTTTAATGAAAAAATGCCGGTAGTCTAAAGGTTAAATAAAAAAAAAGCACTCTTGAAATATAAGAAAAAAGATTTCGCCGTTATATTTAGTAGCTTTACTTATTATGCTATAACATAAATCCACGCAGCTTACTTTACCTATAAAAAGTCTTAATTGCTTCTTTTATTCGCAAATCAAAGCATTTCATGGTACCATCTTGTGAGCCAGATATCAACCACATGGGTTCTGTCATGTGAAAGCTTACTTTATTCACAGTTCTTTTATGATCAACAAATACATGATCCTGTTTTGATCGAGATTGCCTATTCAAATTCCATAAAACGACCGCACCGTTTGTTGCTGCAGTCGCAAGTATATGATCTACAAAAATTAATAAAATATATTACAAAATAATAATAAATAATTTATTAAGACCATATATGTCAATATACAAGTAAGAGTTTAATTGTAAATATAACGATCAAAGCTGGATCTTAGATGCTTTAAATGATTTCTATGTAAATTTATATACTAAATATGTAATCATTTGAACTGTGTGCCAAATTGACTTTTCGGACTTACAAAATAATGTGATTCATTATATTAATATAGTTAATTAATATTTAAATATAATTTATAGAAAAATAATTGAATTAAATATATTCATGAAAATTTGAGTTAAGCTAGAAAAAATTCAAGTATCTATCTTTTATAATATCATTGATTATTTAATATAGGATTTAATATATAAATATAATATAAATATATTAGGTGTTGGAATTAATTCATAGCGTTTTTAAATGAAAGAATGTTATTTATTTCACATGAGCATTAAAAAATACATTAATGAAAGTACTTCCCATCACTTGTAAAACGCTACGAATTAATTCCAACACCTAATAACATAAAAATATATCGTATATCGTAATAAGCAATTGGATTACCATCATTAAGATTCCAAGCAACATCATTGCAGGAAAAATTCAGATTCAAATTCTTTCCAACACGAAGATTGCTGGCTTCTTCAAACCTATCTTCCAACAATGTGAATATTTTGAAAACTGTAATAAAATATTATTATAATATAACTCTCATATTTATTTCCTTTAGGAATAAGAAAATAAATTTAATAAAGTAAAATTAATTAATTATAATTGTTTCGACCATGTCAATCAGATTGTAATAATTTGTATTGTATATCCTAATTATTATATATTTTAAAATATATCTTATTATATATCCTAATTATATATTTTAAAATATATCTTATTTTAAATTTATGTAAACGCACCATTACGACCGGCTATTACAACCTGGCTGTTATCCTTGTTAAGGGCTAAGGCGTTTGCAGGTCCTTCTTGAGCAATGCATATAGTCCTCGATGTCATACTGCATTTCAAAAATTAATATTAAAATATCTAATTAGTATTAAGAATTAATATTAAATTATCATCGCAATATTAAATTATTATTAATTATTATTATAAATAACTATTAATAATATTCACACCTTCTAATCACTGTTTATGTTTCCGTTTTATGGAGTTCTTTTTATGGAGCCTCAAGCACATGTCACGGAGTTACACAAAGTGTATTCATTTGATACTTATATACTTTAGGACATACTTTGGAGCAGCTTGTCAAAAATAACTTCCGACAATTACAAATGTACAGTTATCTCTAAATTTCTGTTATCTTTCTTTCATAAATATTTGTCATTCTTTCAGAGAGATTGTATAGAATATATTTCAGCTATCCATAATCATGTTGGAGCAAGATGACATTGCACAATGTTCGATGCATCTACTTCTCTTACTGTGTATAAATAAAATTAGTATTCATATATGTATATGTATATACATTCAATATAAATTTGAAAAAGAGAGAAGTAAAAAATTTAATATGGAATTTATGTCCATTTCTAATGTAGATGAACTTTAATCTTGATTTAACTTACTTTTTATTTTCCAATTCTAAAAATTAAAAAAAGATAAAAAGCTCTCATTAACCTGAGATTAAAGTTGATATCTATATTGATAGAAATGAACTTGAGGATAATTCCGACCAAACTTTGATTAACTTAACTGATGATTAAATTGTCAAAAAATACCTGTTTATTAACATGCTCAGAATTATTAACCTGCTCTTGCTGTTACAAAGAAAAAGGATCAGATTAAGAACGATAAATTATGTTAAAAATTTTGCTGCAAGTAATATTTTGACAATCGAATCGATCATTGATTGACCTAATCGGAATTTCAAGTTTCATCGAAGTCACTATCATAAAGAAAACAAATATAAAGATAAACATAGAGAATAACAATTAAATATTATGACAAAATGACAGGCACAGATTGTGATAATTGCAACAATAATAATAACTTACAAATGTAACATCGTGACAAACAGAATAAATTATTATGACATTTAATGTAATGATATAAGCGGTTGCCGAGCTATTTCTTATGGACACGAGATTGCACGAAGTTGTCATTGAAGAGTTTGAACGGCAAGCCGAAGCACGCGCTGAAACGTTCGCAAATAGAATAAAAAAAAAACGAATCACGGCGACGACGACAACGACAGAGAAGTGCGTTGATTCGCGAGAGCTTCATGAAAACTCGCTGTGCGTTGTCTGCAATACTGAGTTCAGATTCCCACTCGAGTGTCACCCAGATATCGCTCCATCCTTGTTGTTTATTATATGTACATTAGACAAGGATGACACCTGGGGAGTACCTAGATCTGAACACACTTCAAACTGATCGTGTTTTATGCCCGTATGTTTTATGCCGTATTCATAATCAGGCCTTAGGGTGAAATCACATGGTGCGGAAAATGACTGCGGAATAGAGAAAACGTCATAGAAGCAATCAATCAGCGTTCTTCTGCATCATTCCGAATAGCGCTGATTGGTTGCTTCTATGACGCATTCTCTGTTTCTCAATCGTTTTCCGCACTGTGTGATTTCACCCTTATATTTAAAGCTTCCTTAAATTTATCTTCAGATACTGTACGAATTATTTCATTGGTTGCTGAGCATCTAAAGATAAATTTAAGGAAGCCTTAAGTACAAGGTCTGTCTATGAATATGGGCATTAATCCTGAGCTCTGTTTCCTGAACTCTGTTTTCTGTAACTACACTGGTGTACACTTCTGAAACTTAAAGGGAGATAGACATATGTTTGAGATTTGGCGAAAGCGAGAAAGAGAGTTCTAGTGCAGTCTAATGCAGGAATAAAAACAAACCTTGTTAGCCAGTAAGTAACCTGCTGGCCTATTACCTATAATATCTATATGTCTGGATATGCCTATCTGATGTGAGGTGTCCCTACTGTTCCTTCGTTCCGGTGCAACATGATGGCGGTTGTAGTTTGGGGAGTGTTGATGTGAGGAATTAGGAAAGGCTTCCTTTTCGCCGACGTTATCGTGACGTTCCATACAACGACGACAACGACAGGTGGACGACGATTTACACGACAAGTATGCCATTTAATTCCGAGCGCGACCAGAGCGGAGAGCGTGAGTGACAGCCGAACAGTGTTAAGGGAACGGTAACGTCACGCGGTCCATAACACTACGAGGTAGTCTGCACAGTGCCACATACGAGAAGATCCTCGTGAGGTCCACCGCTGTGTCGCAAATGATGTTGTCGATTGATTTTTTAATGACGGGTGATCGGCAAACTCACGGCGATGTTGCGCGAGTCGCCAGTGTCGTTCCGTTAATGAGATACATGTTTCTGCTGCTGAGCCTTTTCGCGCTCCTCCAGTTGACACTGCCGGCGGCTGCTGGCGATTCCTTGGGTGATCCATACAAGATATTAGGCGTGTCGAAGCATGCGACGTTGCAGGACATTCGAAAGGCATATAAGCATCTCGTCAAGGAATGGTAAATGGTGTACCTAATATGTTTCTGTTAGAATGTATCCAGATGCTGTTAGAATGTAGCCAAATGCTAGCAGTATGCCTACCAGCAATTGCCAACAAATTTGATCATGATTTTAGACTCCTATCCATTATATCCTCTTTAAGCTTGGTTTCTGCCACTAATAGCGAATTCGATCACTTGCACTATGCCATCAGATCAGTGTATACCAAAAGCTGCTTTACATGGAATTACCAAGGTTAAATGTAAAAGTATATAAATATTTCAAATGATTAACTATTTACTAATGATATTGTTATTTAACAAAATATCATTTTATTGTCAAAGTTAATCAATTTATATTTGTTTTACTGCATTATACATCACTGCATTAAGATATTTTATATAAAATAGCTTTTAACACTGATCCAGTGTAGGGCGAATGATCAAATTCACTATGATTTGCCAGTCTGAATGAAGCATACATCATTGTGAAGCCTGTTCTTGTCACTGCACTGGGCTGTACTAAAAAATTTTCTATCTTGCTTAATCTATCTGCCAAATTTCAAATATATAGCTATTTTAAGTACAAGTATATGCTAGTTCAATCATAAAAAATAGATAGAGCTGTCATGTTATTACGCAGGACCTGCTGATTTTCTAATATAGTTCAAATATTGAAAAACAGCAAACTGTACTTGACTGTTGCTACTAATATAGGCCTACTTGACGCCATAAATGACTTGAAACATTTTTGAATTAATCAATTAGCAAAATTCTTTCTTCTGATTGGGTAGTCAAATTTGTTTTGTAGCATGAAGATTCATTCTATTTGACATTTACAATGCTCTTATTTTTGCTACAATGCTAGATTATTTTATCCTTGTTCCAAGTGTGAAACAAGAACAAATGATGTTCATTTAGTGTTGCAAAGTAGATCTCACCCATAACATGCGATACGCAGTTTACAATACATTGCTCTTGGCAGATTTGGCTATCTGGATAGAAACATGCTCTTTCTAGGTATAAAACATTTTTATACATTAAACATGATTTTTTTTTAGGCATCCGGATAAAACTGATCATCCGATGGCCGAGGATAAATTTGTAGAAATAACAAAAGCTTATGAGGTAAATTATATATCTTATCTAAAATGTACGAGGAGCAGTAGCGAGAAGAAATTAACTTATCGCAACAAACTGTTTAGCTTTTGACAGATCCAGAGAGAAGAAGAAAGTTTGATAATCATGGAATTACAGAGGAAGGTATACCCAGGCAAAGGAGAGACAATAGTCACTTCAATGTTCTTGATCCATTGGAAGAATTGTTTACCGGTAATTTTAAATTTCACTATCAAAGCAGAGACATCACATTGTTCCATAAAATGAGCATCACATATCGGTATGTATTTCCACGCGTCACAACGATTTGTCGCTGTTGAAATTACATTAAATGCTTCGTAAATTACAGATCGTTCGAGAATGTAATAGTGCCCAAGACTTACCGTATGCCATATTTAATCTTATTTTACTCCGACTGGTGCTACATGTGTCTGCAAGCGGAGCCTACTTGGAGACGATTAATCGATGAGTTGGAACCTCTGGGACTTGGTTTGGCTACACTCTCTTCCGTGTCTCGTTGTTATCGTAGACGGACGCACTAGTGTCTACAAGGAATCTGTGTTTGGCATTCAAAAAGTTGTTGGTATGTTTACTACTTTAAAAATGTATACTTTGTCTTATTCGCTGTTTCATTTTATAAATTCTCAAATTGCGAACTAATAATCCGTTTTTTTATTTTTCTGCAGAATTTGTACGAAGTAGGCTACCATATAAATTAATAAGTACTATTAATAATAACAACGTAGAAAATTTCCTATCGGGCTGGACGGATAACCGAATACGCGCTTTGATATTTGAGAAAAGAAACTTTATTCGCTTGCGATATTTGCTTACGTCCTTTTACTATAGAGATCGAGTAGCTTTTGGCTTTGTTCAGGTAAAAAAAAATGTTTTATGATATACATATAATCAATGTTAATAAATCTCAAATTATCCTTTAATCATCATTTTAAATATTTTTTTTTATAGATTAGCGTACCAGAAACTAAGAACATAACGTCAAAATACAAAATCTCAGGCGAATTAGATACTTTACTGCTTTTTAACGAGAATTCTGAGAAACCTATGGCGTCTGTTAGTATGAAAGATATTTCCAGTGAAACCATGCATAATGTTATCGCTAATAATAAGTTTCTCTTATTACCGAGACTTTCAAATCAAGCTATGTTAGATTCAATATGTCCGCCTGAATGGCTGAGGCCGCAAAAGCGATTGTGCGCTGTTTTGATATCGCAGCAGAATAATCCTCTGCACGACATAGCTAGGCACAAGTTTAGACAAGCGGCATTAGAATCATCTTACAGGTAATGTCTATCTAATAAACAAATTCTTATTTTAATACATTGTATGATTATAAAATTATTAATCATTTAAGTCCATTTTAAGTATAATACAGTTTTTAATAAAGATATATAATGGTAATTTTTATATATGTTTATTAAATATTTTATTTAATAATATTCACAGCACGGAACGTGTCAGATATGCATATGTATTCAAAGATACGCAACCTGAGTTTGTATCAGCACTGTCAGCCGGTGAAGGCAGTCCACTGGAACCCTTATTACATATCGTCATCATATGGAGACGAGATGCTAATCACTTGAAGTATGAATGGTTTCCTCATGGATGGCTTGAGACCATTCAGAATGAACGTATATGGAATGAGACGCGTAGACATTTAGAGAAAACTATACAAAGGCTGTTACGTACCACCGAAGCTTTACCATATTCTGCTGTTGTAGGAGAATTGGCAGATGAACATGCACAGGTATGTCTGCTTCCACAATAATCATAATATTCTTTCTGATTTACAAAAATTGTTAAGCTACGTTCAAAAAATTTATCCGAATGTCTCCAAATGTCATTTTATTCTTGTTGTTCACTAAATATTAAATAAGAATAAAATGATATTCAAGAGATATTCAGGTAGTTTTCGAACGCGACCTTAGTAATATGCCATATTAATACTTTAGTATACTTTTCTAGGGCACTGTAGACAGATTGATAGGAAGGGCATTATTAGCGGTAGATTATATATCAGATAATCTGACGAAAGAGCAAATATTGCCTTTGATATCGGTGCTGATTACTCTCATGCTAATAGGAGTTGCAGGATATGGAATGTCATACTTAGTGTGAGTAGAATTAGCAAAGTAATATAATACATTCTGATTTTTAATTTTGATATTGCAGAATATTAATCCATTTCAAGATTTAGTAGAGATCATTAAATAATTTTGCCAAATAATAAATTACTATTCACTTAAAGCATATACATTATGTACATTAAATTAATATGTTGCGAAAAAATAGTATTTTGTGTATTATATAAATTATATAATTATATAATTATATAATGTATTATATAATTATATATGTTAAATCATATACGTGTTTATATATATATATATATATTTATGAATTTGTACATTTTGTTTTTTATATTCAGTAAACTAGAAGAAGCAAGTGTACAGTCTGAACATGTTCAGTGCAAAGACAATATCAAGTCGCTTCCATCGCAGCCGCAATTACGATTACACGAATTACGCGTGGAGAAATACTATGGATTAGTTCGGCTTTTGAAACCAGGATGCCGAACCATCGTTCTGCTAGTTGATGCACAAAGCCGATTAAAGTTATTACCAGCTTTTCATAAAGCTGTGTGGCCTTATAGGTACACTCTGTTATTAGCATTTCCTATTTCTATTCATTACTCTATGTTGCAAATTATATGAAATTTTACATATATGAATATTAACGACAATATGAGAAAGAGAGTGTCATCATAAACCGTTTTTCAGAAAGAATAAAACGCTTATGTTCGCACATCTATCATTAGAAAGGGGTCTTGATTGGTACAAGAAACTGTTATCTCTTGTTTTATCCGACCAGAAAGAATTAAACATAAATATCAAAAACTGCGTTGGCACAGTCTTGTCCTTAAATGGACATCGAAAGTATTTCTGCATGTACCATGCCAAACATCCAGAATGTACTAAAGGTAAAAGTTCTAAGGTATGTATTATCGAAATAATCTGAATTCCTTGAAGTTGTCTATCTGTTGTTATCTGAAAATAAAACAATTGTATTATATTATAGCGTATGGAAAAAATGACCAAGCAACTTGCCAAAAAATCGGAGGATCCGGAAACAGGCGCTTTTATCGGTTTTGACAGTTCCAACGAATCCGATCAAGACGAGGTATACGACAATATAATTAAGAATGTTCTTGACTTTCAGTATTTATCACATTACCAACAATGTTTCTTGTAGGGTGGAAACATGTTATATCAAGATCTTTTAGATGGATTACCGATGTGGCTCGAGAGATTGTTCGAAGGATTAACGCAACGTTATTATATAAATTATTGGCCCGAGTTCACTGCCAAGTAAAAGGAAGAAAACAAATAAGTTTTTTCTAGATGTGTAGAGGAGACTATGACGCCTAGGGACATGTATCTTGACACATGACACTTATCTTCCTAACACTGAAAGAGTCTTTAAATTTGACTGCTTGATAATATCGCTTCAGTCGTTACGTGTTTACAATCTGACTAAGTACATGTCCTGTACTCATTTAATTTTCATCCTTAAAGATCGAGACTAAATATTTCGTAAGTATTTTTTACTATTTATATCTTCTTTTTAGTTTTTAAGTACACTTTTTTCCAATTTGTTAAAAAAATTTATATACAAACAAGTTTAGATGACTGAGATTTTATAATTTTAATTGTTAGTTTATTTATGAAACTACTTCAAGAGACATGCACCTTTGAATGTATTTTTATTTTTTTTTTCTCTTTTTCATAGGTTGTTGTTATAATGCAGTCTGAAAACTTAGAAAACCATATTGAATTACATAGATATGAGATAGCAATTGAAGACGTTTTAAAGTTTGGATATTTAATAAAAGAGGCTGCAACAGCTTATGGACTTGATGAAGATTATTTATCTCTGTTTTTACATACAATCCTTACGAAGGGAAAAGTAATTAAAGGGGAAAATAAAAATTTATCATTTCTCGATGAACAAGTATTTCTGCTATATATAAAAATATATCCTCAAGGACACTGTGTTTGCATAGCATGCTTTGAAGAATATTTTCCATATCTAATCTATAAATTTGTAAAAAAAAATAAAATAAATTATCCATACTATTGGAATGTATATGGGAAGGCAGATATAGTTACAAAAAGAGATTTTCTAAAGAGAAACGAATATGAAATTTCAAGATTATTTTCGAAAGATTGTATAAGATTATCTCCGAATAATCTACTTAACAAATCTTTGTACCTTGATAATGATGTTCACGAATGCCCACAAAATTTTTAAGCTCATGCAAAATTGGAACAATCACAAATAGGTAGCATCTAGTCAAGAATGTCTTCTAAATGCAAACATTATTATTAAGAACCCTATGAATATAAATTTCAGACAAAAATGAATGATGATTAAAAAAGAGAATCAAGATGTGCTATTTTCTACAAATTTTTGCTTAATCTCTGCAAATATATATTTGAAATTTAAAAAAAGGAAAAATAGTTAAATGTTGAAAAATATATCAAAAGAAGTTAATAGGTATCATAGTCTCCTCTGTATCTCAGCAAAAGTGATAAAGAACAAGTTCGCCTAGTCAACAGAACATTATTGCCATCTGGATATACTGTGATTCGAATGGACACAGACGCAACCCTGTATAAAGACAAAACATATTCATTACTTATACTAAGTACCATTTATAAACATATTTACAGTTTCCTGCATTTTAACATTTTTAGATTGGTCTTTAAGTATTGTTAAAGAAAGTAAATTATAAACAAGTTATGTAGCAAATAGAAGAAAGAGAAAGATTATCACTGTACAGTGAATTGATTTCTCTGGATAGGTCAAGTTTTCTATATACTACTACTACTATTTCATCCGTTCCTATATTACTTGGGAATACTCTTTCTATTCCTCGAAACTGCTTGTATCTAGTCAACACGTTATCAAAATTTTAGCAATATTGCACAGTACAAGCAAATAGATCATTTATATTTCCTTAAATATGACTGCGAAATCGCGATTAATTGTTATTCTGAATGCGTTTGAATATGTTAACTCTTTATAATATTATATCAATCGCTATTTTTAATGTCATGAAAAGAAAATTTATATTGGTATGTGGTATGGTTTACCTATATAATGCGTATCTCTGTCGCTTATTCGCGCGCGCGCGCGCCCTACGTTTATAAATATTATATCATTATATGAGCATATTTCTCGAATCCAAATGTCAGTAGTACATATCTATTTACAGAATTTATACTTTGTCAATATAGTTACCGTAAAATCGATATTCGTAAGAGCGCGAACCCAAATGATAGCATGATAAAGGTATTACTTATGAAAGAGATAATTGCCCTTATCAAGATTTTTATACGTCCATTACATTTTATTTTTACTTGCTCTACTTTTGCATTTCTTGTATAATTCTTTAAATAATGCATATGTGCATATATATTATATTATTTATAAATAAAATATACATATATATATATATATGCTTATATATATGTGTATATTGTTGAATATTATATATTATGTATCTGGCCAAAGTATTTTAGTAAACTTCGAATCAGCTATTTACTTTTCCTTCGGATATGTACCTAATCCTTTTTTTGTAAAGCGACAGATGTAAATACTTAATTATTTACGTATAATATTTCTTTATCACAAAAAGCTATTAAAATGTATTAACCGTGTATTATAGAAACATGAGATATACAGTAATGCTGTTGAAACTACAAATTATGTGCGCTCAATTGTTTATACTTTATACCCTTATATAAAGATTAAAATTAATGAGAAACAGACACATGAAGTTAATATTTCTATCCTAATAACGTTAATCTTGTTGGTATTCTTAAGTTTCATCTCTAGTTACTATTATATGAATATTTATTTAGCAATTAAGCATTCAAGCAATTTTTTAATAGCGCTTTTAAATATAGTGATATATTCATATCAATTTTGCGGTAACTGTAAAGTGCTTTAAGTTGCTGCTCATTTCTTAATATGTGACTTAGCAAACTTTCAAATTGATTTTGCAAAATGTTATGTATACATTGTTATGTCTCTTACAAAAACTCAACTTCGATTGTAAAGAACTAATATATTTAGGAAAGTTTAATACAGCGTGGCGTGTAGTTTATTATACGTTATCCACATTAGAAGTGTGTAAATATCTTTCTCAATGTTAGCGACATATTCGCAAGTAATCATTTACTTTTGAATTTTACTGCATTTAAAAATTATGTACAATAAGATCCGCTAAAAGGAATGAAATGGGATCGTATATTCATTGTATATCACATTGATACTTTATTTCGTTAAGGAACATTGTTTATGCTGCAATTCTGGGAATATTTCATACATTAATACTTCAAATATATCCTGTAAAAGAAGAATCAGTAAAAAAAATGAATCTATATACGTATATTTCGACGATGAAACAGAGACGGTTACAAGCTGATCGACTTACGTAAAATAGCTGCTTATTCAGATTCACGTTTTGCAGGGAGTCGAAAACTTTAATCGCGCCACGTTGAGCACTTTGTGCTCCTACTAGATTTGTTAATACTTCAGGTACATTGTTGAGAAACTGTCTACGTGCCTCGCCTCGCGTTTTCAACTTTTCTTCGTCAGTGCGAAGAACGGTCTCAGATACGAGCTGCCCATTCGGCCACCATGCTCTCGTAAACAATTGTATGTAATAATGAAGCATCGGTTCGGAAAACACCCATGCAACGGTATCTCTGATTTGCCTGTAAATCAGTGATACATTAACGTATCTTATTAAATATCTCTGTCTTATAATTAAACTACAAAAATTAAGAAATTAAAAAAGTTATTTACATAAAATAAACATAAAAGCAAAGTATTTAAAAGTTTTATAAGGCAAATAAAGTTTTGTGTACGCGACATTTCACCTATTTATAGTACGTCCATAAGTAATCTGTACGAAAGTGATGAGTGATCGTCTGAGCCAACGAAATACTCCTCTTAAATCGAAAACTTCTCCAAGAAGCGTATACAACGGCTCTGCGATCGCATCTTTGCTGACATTTAAATAGGTGTCTGTGCCAGTACGGCCCGATTCGCTATCGTCCAGCAACAACGAATAATCTTCTTCATCTTCTTTGTCGCGTGGTTCGTTATTACCGACAGATCTGTTATGAAGATTTACAGAGTCAGGAAATAGATCAATGATCATATGATGAAATTAGTATATGCGTACGTTTTAAATAATGTGGACAAAGAAAAGCGAGATTTCTTGGGAGATGGTGCCACCACAGCTTTAAGATGCTCGGAGCTTGGACTGAGAAAGGTATACAATGCCTCACTTTGATTAAGCCTCTCGTCCTCCAAAACAAACTATAAGAATTAATAAACCAATTAATAAAGCAAACAGTATTAATAAAATAGTCCAGATTCACATTTAAGGACCTACATTCAAATATTTTTGTATTTGCATCTTAGCTTTATCAAGAGTGCTCTTGTCAGATTTTCCGAAAAACTTTAAAGGCTGTGAAGGTAAGTCCAGGCTTTTAACGTTAGAACATAATTGACGTAATTTTCTATGAAGATCTTGAAAGTCTTGCAGTTTTCTCAACACTACCCATCCGCTAGATATGCTTTCATCATTGTCTTCATCCTCTGCCATATGGACAACCAGTACAAATTGTGGAGGATCCCCGTTATCAGGCATCTATTCAATAAGAGAATCATAAAAAAATCTTTCTATATATACAGAAAAAAATTTGTATTAAATTACCTCTGCACTCTGCACGTCGGCTCTCCAACGACCCAGATGTTCGGCCCACATTTCCGTATGATTTAAATGTGCCTCCAACTGTCGCTTTTCACCTTGCAGCCATTCGACCTCTTTTGCCAATATGCTAAGTACTTTGCTCTCGGGCTTGAGAGAAGATTTGAGCGCCTGCAAAGCTTGCATTTTGTTATTTAATTTTTCATGCAGCTGATCTAGCTTGCTACGAGCGTAATTCGATCGTTCACCAACGAGCAAAGTCGAAGTTTCCGACAATGTACCATCAATAATTTCGCGGTCTTCAACCAAACCTGATGCACGACAGAAGTTTATAAATATAATATATAAAATCATATATTTTTTAATCACTCACATCAATTACACTAAAATAAATTTTTATATAAAATCTAATTTTAAAAATATATAATGTAAAATATAACTGACCTTCTGCCCTCTCATTAAGTAATGCCTCCTGCATGCTCTTATATTGTTCGCTAACGAGAAACGATGGATAATACTTCTCCTGGAGTGTCTTGACGACGCTATCTTGGACCTCGTAAAATACATTAGGTCCCATATCGCCCAACAAAAAAGCTTCCATCCGCTTTCGTACGTTTTTATCCACCTTAATCTCGGCGGTAGGTGATCTGATGTAAGTGTAAAAGATCTCAGCTCCCAGTTGATGCCAATTGGATCGTTCTGCGGCCCGTAATTCTTGCACTGCCGCCCAGTAACCGATCAATCCTTGACTAGCAACCTGTTCCAGAAACTGAGATAGATATCGTCGGCCAGTCACATTATCTAGAATCGTTTGCAATGGAAGTATTCTGCCCTCCGTGATTTCCGTCGCGTTACATATATCGTCTGAATCCTAAAAAAATATCATTATGAAATATTGTCATGTTACCGTAACTAACATGAATAAGACTTTCTACCTGACGAGGATATCCATCCCATCCCAATGTCTGCATGTGACACTCGCACGTATTCTTAGCGTATGTCAGTTGACTGATATACCTCTTTAACTTTCTCGCTCGAATGGCATCGGAGTTTCCCAGAGCGTTATTTTCAAGATCCAAACCTTGAGCTCGTTTTACGTTTTGCACTGTGGTAGCTTGCATAATCTCGGTAACGATATTATATCTAATATGTTTGAGAACTTCTAGATCCTTAGTGCTTTTGACCATCCGGATAAAATCTTCGAACGATTCCGCGTATTCGTATGTTTTCCTGTGCATCGCTTCAGCAAGCTGCTGTTGATCGATGTATGTCAGGATCTTCTGATTGATATAATCGGGATCCGTGATTAAATCTATCGCCGGTTTTAAGACTGAAAAAAAAACAAAGAAGTCAATGAGAAATAAGTCATGTAACTGATAATTTTCAAAAAATGCTTACTTTTGCATGTGAGAACTTCTCTTAAAAGAAATTTTACTGGAGAAAGGGAGTAACTGCGTGGTAACAAAAATAAGATATAAAGTTCGCTAATCTTCCTTAAATATTCCAGTTCAGCGACAGGCGACATTAAATGCGCTGACAAAATAAATACAGGATCCTCTCCCTCCGACCTAAATGCGACAAATAAATCAAGTTGTTTCTCGTCTTGAGTACGCCAATAAAAAGAGACGCTTACGAAGCCGCTTGAGCTATCCGGATCTTCTCGAAGTGAAAAGTAAGCTTATTCACTATACTGCAAACCACTAGTTTAGTGTGGTCAACATGCGACAAGCGTTCGTGTAGGCTCTGTATCGCGCCCCACACATCCTGTTTCATGTTATCTATCAGCTGTTCGGAGCCAAAGGCCAGATCGTTCAACCAGAAGCCGACAAAGTCCTGAAAGATCAAATCTAGAAGATTCTGCAGGGCACCATCCACCAGACGTGTGAAAACAACAGGATAACGTGTATGTTTCCTAGTGCTGGCTGATTTAGGCTCATATCCTTTCTGAAAAGCCAATAATCAGGAATGAACAATGATAACCATTTAGGCCTGTTCTTTCCAAATGAACTTTTTGCGTTCATTTTTTTTCTTTTCTTTCTAACAAAAAAAGAAATAAATGAATGATACAAGAAATTCAGCTAAAAAGAATTAGGCCTATTTGTTGAGCTTTTCATTTGTTAATACAAGTTGACACAAGCATCGTTTTGTCTTTGTTATTCATGGAAGAAAGAAAGACGTTTATGCCTACTTGCGAACAAATCCAGTTCTTCAAATGTAAGATCAACTATAATTTTGATTTAATTCACTATTTATCTTTTTCTAATTTTTAAAATTAGAAAAACATACAGAGTAAATTGAATCGAGATTGAAGTTAATCTTATAATGGAACTAGGCCTAAAGTATTCTATTCCATTTAAACTCAGTTCCATCAACATAAGATTACCTTAATCTCGGTTCAATTTACGATTTATATTTTTTTCTAATTTTAAGAATTAAAAAAAGATAGTCAGTAAATTAAACAGAGATTCAGAAAAAATAAAGAGAAATAAAACGGAGATTAAAGTTAATCTTACATTGATGGAACTGGATCTAAATGGAAAGTATTCCATATCGATGCATCGTGTTTCAATTGTACCATCAACATATTGTGGAAGGCGTCCACTTCTGCAATAGTTTTAACAGTTCCAGTGCCAGTCTGGTGTTTAGGCGACAAAGCTATGTTGATCAGTATCATGATTAACGGGCCGATAAGCAAGCAGGAGCAAGTTAATACAATGTAGAGAAAACAACACTGGACGTAGGTCCAGTCCATAACAATTCCCAGGCTCATAACGGCCAATGACATAACGCCAATGACAACGAGAGAAACCATGGCTTTCTTTTTAATACAATTGTATTAAAATATGCGATGCGGCGAGATAACAGTACTTATATCAATGAACATATACACCCAACAATGCTTTTTAATCTCGCCGCGCTGATAACACGAAACAATATCGAGAGCCTCGCCATTTTTAAATGTCGAATGTTTCGCACTTTGCGACACTTTGCGCTCTGTTTGTGCTGAGACTACGGCCATCTTGCGACGAGACATAGCAACTAGAATTAAACTACTTGCTGGTCAAGTGGTTTATTCGTGATGTAGAATGCATGACTGCATGTATGACTGCACCGATTATTATTTTCGATATTTGCAACATAAATTCTGAAAAATATTCCCAAATTAAAAGTATGCAGTTATAATATTGTAATATATATTGGATTAGGGAAAAAGTCCCTTTATAAATTGGTAAAAAGACTTTCCCCATCAATATCTTCGTTAAAAATGATCAAAATTTAAATTTGAAATAAGGGTTTTAAAAGCTGAAAGCTCTCTAGCTTTTTGAAAAGTTTTTTGAAAAGCTTACTATATTTTTTTGAGTTTATGTGAGTTTTGTAATTTTGTATATACAAAACTATGCGAGTTGAAAAAGTGAAAAACTTTTTTCTCACTTTGTAAGTCTGTCACGTGAAAAAAATTTTTAACAAATTTTCGACTATCTGTCGTGAAGCTTTCCCTACAAAATCGTTTTTTAAAAATGTTCCTACGATTTTTTATAAATTGTGATGATATATCTAATCATATCTAGTCTTATATTCGATAACATGGTACTTTTTTTATCGATAATCTTATATCCTCGAACGACTCTCAATTTATTATGAAATTTTTATTATATGTATATCAACAAGATTCGAAACACATATTAAGCAATTACAAGCTTATTGAAATAATAATAAAGGTCTCAATGTGCGCAATCTTATATTGCAAGTGCATGTCGTGGACAAAAAATCATGGAAAAATAAACGGATTTTCATTGCTCAATTCGCGGATTCGCGCAATTGTTCGTCGTCCACGAATGAGAGCGATAACTCGACCGAGCGCGAACGATAAATATATCATCACTTGTGATATAAAAAAATATATTATCAAAGTTGCCGCGAAACAGTGGAAATCATCTTTTTCCACCCAATTTCTTTCGCGAGGTTATAGAGACGAGGTCTGGCGAAATCGACCTTGCGTCGCGTCACAACGGCCTAGTTGTGACAGCTTTTCGCAACGCCGCGCGCCAAAGATAAAGAGATCGCCGATTCAGTGAACTACATCGCCGAGTGTCTACCTTTGAAATGGTGCAAACATTAACATTATGCACCAGTTAATGCGGCATCGCGTAACGATGCCGTGACTGAAATGTTCCTCATTTTTCATGCCGCGAATATGAAAAAATAATTATTTTCTTATTATTTCTCTTTCTTTTTCCCTTTTTTCTAATTATTTCCTTTCCTTTCCAAGCGGATTAATAAAAAACAATCAGGTAAAATAAAATCTCATTCAAATTTTCCGCTATTTGAGCTCCTATGTATCATGCGCTCCTAATACGCGAACGTAGCTCTTGAAATCCGAATTCGCAACTCATTTCAGTTTGATATGCTTTCCCCGTGAAAGGCGGGAACTTTGAATCGACAATCTCCTCCTAACCTCTTGGTGAATCCTATTCTCCTGATAACTTTGACGATTTTTCGAAGGTATCGCGCGAGAGCACGTGTTCTAGCTCTCGCCTAACCTCTTGTGCGATTGTTTTGAACAAGAGATGAATTTACATGAATACAGAGATGACTTTGTGTATTGTATAAAAAATAAAGTAATGTATAATGTTTAATATATATATATATATTATTACACGAAAAATATATATATATATATATATATATATATATATATATATATTCCAGCAACATAAAGTTGAGACATTTTTGCAAAAATATCTTTAAAACATCTTTAAGATAATTGTCCTTTTGTCGTTTATTTTTGTCGTTATTCCACATTTCAAACTTATAATGTTTTATATTATTACGATGTCTCTATTATTCTTACGTTCTTAGTTTATTATATATTTTTCATGCACATTCAAAATCTATATTTTTTTTTTCAACTTTTAACATTTTATAGATTCACGGACAATTTAATTATTTCTCGATAAACTTCTGTCGCAATTTTGATAAAGAATTAGAATGAAAAAATTGTTATCTAAAATTAAAAAAACAAGATATCGCAAGAAGAAGAACTGCGCTAAATTGAATGTGCTCTGTAAATGTCTTCATGGATCTGAATTTTCCAAACGTACAGAATTAAAAAATCTCGTCTTCAAATATAAGACTGGAGTTGACACTTATAAATATTACTAGTTTAAATCTTGACATTTTTTAATTTAAAATTTATTTTTTCATGTTTAACGTTTAATCTTTATATATTTCTGACCTAACATTTATTTTTTTAATATTAGCGCTTTAAGATAGAAATCTGCGGCGATTTTTTCAAAGTATCTCTCGTTGTTTTCAGTGTGTTATATCTCTTGAAGAGATGAAGAGTCTCTCGATCCTGAAGATATTTATCCGCATGATTGGAGAAGTTTGAAAAATCGCATTCATCCACTAATTTAGTGTGCAATCACGAAGTTTACTTTCCATTCTCGAATGAGGATCGGGTTCTTCGAGGATCGCGAGGATGGGAGCGAGCGAGCGGGCAGACGTCGCGGCGTTATCGCGCGGCGTGGATCTACCTACATATTTCACCGTGATACGTATAAAATGTCACCGTGAACGAGATTTTTGGCTCTTTGTTGAACGTACACCGCCGTGATACCGTCGATGATGGATCGACGACGCCGACGGATCTACGTCACGACGATTGTTCTGTATTGCTGCATCTCGTTGGCGAATCCGACGTTCGTCAAGCCCGATGATAATCCCGACATCGAACTCACGACGGTGAGTGTTTTTTTCGTGGCTCTCTTTATAATACGATTGTGACATAACGCGCCTCGCTGCAACAACAGATTATATCTTGAATGTCATGTTAAATTGGTTTGCGTAATTACCTACTCTTTCCATCGTAGTGTTTATCTTGGCATTTAGATGCATTCTTGGAGAAAAGAAAGTAAGATATGAATGGTAAATGATGTTTGAGAAGAGTACACAATCAAAGGAGAGAATAGGAGTATCTTAAAACAAGATAAAAAGTATAAAAGTCTTCTATTATTTTGCAATTTTCGCAATAATTAACAAGATATTAATTACTTCGCTGAATATTGGTTTTCAATTATTTTTTACTCAAATACTATCAACTTTACAGAAAAATTGTAAGAGACAAAAATTGTTTATTTTTTTCTCATAATTCTGAGAATTTTTTCAGAATTTTTTCAGAATTTTTTAATAGTATTTGAGTAAAAAATTATTAACTATTGCGAAAATTGCAAAATGGTAGAGAACTTTTCAACTCAATTTAGTCCCATCTATCTTCCTGTGAGTTATTGCTATAGTCTTGCTGGACACCCTGACACATCTAATAATCAACATTTAATTGATGTGTGAAATAAAAACAAACGAACTTTCCATATGCTTTCCAGCAAATGAATATGTATTCTTTTATTCGCAGCCAGAACTGGTGACGAAATATGGATATCCTTTGGAGATTCACAGTATCGTTACGAAGGACGGTTATGCTCTTGAACTACATCGAATACCGCGCAGCCAGGATGAGGAGGAAACGAAATTCAGGATAAAAACGCCGATACTCTTGATGCACGGTCTAGGAGGCAGCTCCGCCGATTGGGTCCTTATGGGTCCTGGAATGTCTTTAGGTGGATCCTTATTCATATTTATAAAGCTATAAAAAATATTAACAATATCAGTGCAAAAAGATAATCTCGATATTCGCTTAGAAAAGATAATATAATAGAGAATTTTTTCTAGCGTACATATTAGCCGATGAGGGTTACGATGTGTGGCTTGGAAACAATAGGGGCAACATTTATTCGAGAAATCACACCTGGTTGTCGCCGACCGATCGAGATTTCTGGGATTTTAGGTAGCTAAAATGTTACAGAGGATTAGTGGTAATTTTGTGACGAATAAGAGAAGAATATTAATACTAAATCTACCATGTCAAATGCCGTCCAAGTAGCATAGCAGCGCTTTATTACCGTTTTTTTGGGCGCTACACGGAGAAAAATAATTTTGCTGTTGAAACCTGTCATTGCTACTGTATGTTCATAAAGCAGCGATAAAATTTAATTAATACAACCAGTTTTAGAAATTATTTGTTATTAGAGTAGAATTTGTTTTGTTGCTAAAATAGAAAAAATTTGTTGTATGTATTTGTCTTTAGAACCAAAGTTAATTTGCTGTTAAAGCAAAATAATGTGTTCTTAGCAAATTTGTTTACTATTGAAGCAAAATTACTACTGCTCATTCAAATCCATATTATGACAGTAAATGAAAGGACCCCGTACAGATCTTGGAAAAATGTCTCTCGGTTAAATTGGAATTAAAGTATGTTGTTGTCCTCGACGTCCTGAACAAAAGCCTCAATGGGCACGACTCTCTAAATTCAATACTTTTCCGTCCAGAAACGTTTAAAGTGGAAATCTATGATTGTATTATGTTTCTTCACAAACCAAATATATGAATATCACTCTCTTGTCCTCTCTCTTTATATATATGTATGTACATATGTATGCGCGCGCGCGCGCGTGTGTGTACAATTGAACCTTATTCTGCGAAGATAAAAGGGTGATCTGTATATATACAGGGTGTTTAGAAATTAGTGATAAGTCTTTAGCACAGGAGCAGAATGGACTAAACTGAGAGAAGAAAAGTCCTCTATTATTTTGCAATTTTCGCAATAGTTAACAAGAAATTTATTGCTAAAAATTGCCGAAAATTGGTCTTCAATAATTTTTTACTCAAATACTATCAACTTTACAGAAAAATTGCAAAAGAACGAAAATTGTTTATTTTCTTCTCATAGAACTCTACGAAGTTTTTCAAAATTTTTTATCAACTTTTTAACACTATTTTCTCATTTTTATCAACCTGAGAAAATACGATATTAAAACATTCTGAAGAAATTCTTAGAGTTCTATGAGAAGAAAATAAACAATTTTCGTCTCTAACAATTTTCTAAAATCGATAGTATTTGAGTAAAAAATTATTGAATACCGATTTTCGGCAATTAATATCTTGTAAGAAAGAGAGTAATATTCAGTACATAGTACAACTATAGATTTCCACTTTAATCATCTCTGTATGGAAAAGTATTGAATTTAAAGAGTCGTGTCCATTGAGGCTTTTGTTCACGACAATATACTTTAATTCCAGCCAATTTAACTGAGAGACATTTTTTCCATAAGATCTATGCGGGATCCTTTGTTATTGTAATCGATTGTGTTATTGCAGCAAAACTTGATGCTAGGATGTGCTTTCTATTCTGCGTTTTCTCAAATCGTTCTCTCCTTTCTGGAATCTTCTATTATTATAATATCGCTGCATCTATAAACGTATTGTCGCGAGTGACTACTCAATATTTTATTGCATTTATTATTTTCATTTGTCCTATTATATTCATGTTACATACTTTTGTTACTTTATTCATCGTCAACGTGTATTCATAATGATACGAAATCTGCTGGACAGTTGGGGAATGCTTGAAGAAATTATTTCAAAATTAACTCTTACTGTACAAGGTCGGGTTACTATAATGACCGAGCGATTCCTGTTTGTGCAAGTTTTTTTTCTTGAGTCTTTCGGTAATTATAAATTAAACTACATTTTATTATTTTCCAAAATTAAGTTTCAATATTTATTCTAGAAAATTCAACGTATGTTAAATTTTGGTGAATTTTTAAAGATTTTTTGAACCAGAATCTTTGAATAGATGAAAAAAAACGGACGGATTCTAGTAACCCAGTTTGTACGGATATATGAGGCACCAAATTGTACTTTGTATTAATTTTGAAATAATTTCTTCAGTCATTCCCCAATTGTCCAGCAGATTTCGTATATTCTTTTTACAAAATTATTCGTACAATCAAAATATGTCCTTAATTTAGTAAACATATCTTGCTACAATAGCAAATTTGATTCGCTCGTATAATTCAAATAAATTGTTTATAAAACAAAATCTTCCTAATTCTTCAAATGTGCTTTGCTTTTGTAGCAAATTGTATACAATAAAAAAGATTAGTTGATTAAATAAAAAATCATTTATTCTTACAGCAAAATAATTCGTAGTTTTAGCTAAATTATATCCAGCAATAGCAATTAGTACTTTTAACAAATATCTTTGCTCTTCACATAGTAACTAGATAGATTTTGCTACTGTAGTATATAATTTGCTATGCCAGCAAATTATTTTTCTCCATGATGTGTGCTATTTGGAGTTTTTAAACTTATCATTTTTTACTTAGCTGTACGACTAAGTTATTTTGTTTATTATTGTATTAAATTGATTATTATCTACAGTTGTAAAAAATATAACTTATTTAAAGATCGGTTTAACCAATTCAATAGAAATAGGTATATATAAATTGTCGACGAATTTAGTGTTAATCAGATCACATTGGGCGCGTTTCATTTAATGTTCACAATGCTCGCAAGCATCATTTCATCCTTATCGTTTTCAAATATTAAATAATGCTCGCGAGCGTTGAGAACATTAAATGGAACGCTATAGAATTATCGCTATATTAGTCATATTTATGACATTAAGCTTTGTCTTTCAGTTCAAATTTCCAAATAAAACATTAGTCTTATTAATTTAAAGTCTTATTAATCTAAAAAACATTAAATGATATATAGATCATAATTACATTTAATTTTAAATTTGTACTTTTTTAAAGAAATATTAATTTTAGTATAAATTTTAAGATTTTAGAATATATATGAGAAAGATTATCGTAAGAAAACTTGTATTTGTTTCAGTTATCATGAATTTGGTATCTACGATCTTCCCGCAATGATCGATTACATTTTGCACACTACAGAATACGAGAAGATCTATTATGTCGGACATTCGGAAGGTACTACGCAGTTCTGGGTGATGGCATCGGAAAAGTCCGAATACAATTCGAAGATTATTCTGATGATCGGTCTAGCACCTGCAGCTTTCATTGGCAATATTCGCGGACCTGTCCGGAAACTCGCCAAGTTGACGTATTTCGGCGTGGTAAGAGAATCGTCATCGAGGCATTCGATGGACTTCGAGGTCGACTTCATTTCTCCTTTCATTTTTCTTACAGTGGGTCGGCGAAACTTTTGGCTATCCGGAATTCCGTTCACGGTCCGATTGGGCAAAATTCGTATCGAATCTATTCTGCCAGAGAGCAGCGTCCACGCAATTCATTTGCAGCAATATCCTGTTTCTGGTCGCAGGATTCAGTCGTGCGGAATTAAATACAGTATATAAACGACACGCATTCGTCGATTTTGATTTCCTATATTGCTTCTTTTATTCGTATTATTGATCGAACTTTCTTTCATTGCGATAGGACTATCTGACAGTCATCATAGGTCATGTGCCCGCAGGAGCTTCCTGGAAACAACTCGTGCATTATGGTCAAGGATATATTAATACAGGTAACATAAGCTTTTTAGACTTTCACAGGTATTATCTTTAAAGATACCAGAAGGTTTGCGGGTATCGTCATGTTTTTATCCAATGCTAATTAGCTGGTATCTTCGAACATTATGATAATTATACAAAAAGGAAAAGATAAATATGTTGAGTGTTGTATATTATAATGCCGAGGAATTTGAGGAAACACTTCAAAATGCTTCAGGACGCTTTAGACAATACGATTACGGTAACGTCGACAAAAATCTTCAAATATATAATTCAACGACACCGCCGGATTACCAATTGGAAAAGATCACTGCGCCAATTGCTCTTTTTAGTAGCGATGATGATTGGCTAGCAACTACGAAGGTATATCACGTGCAATTAAAAAAATGTTCCTTTTATAAAAAGATGAATTTGCTTTAATTAAGTTTTTTAGAAACTTAAATATGTTGTGTGTGTGTGTATGTGTGTTGTTGTTAAATATTAATTTTTCTCCTTTTATATAATCAAAATTCGTTAACATCAATCATCATTCATTAATGTGATATAAATTTCATTCAAGGATGTGGATCTCTTGGCTACGAAGCTCAACAGCCTCATGTTTCATTATAAGACTCCTATTAACACCACCTGTAATCATTATGACTTTATATGGGGGAAGTCTTCTGTGCAAATGGTGTCACGGCCTATACTGCAATTGTTAGCTCAATATCAATAACGATATTTTTTCTGGGCTAAAAAAAGGATACCCTTTTCCGACAGAAAGTTACGAGTGCATATAATGAATCGTCTAATTTATTGTTGTTATATTATTAGTATCATCATCATATAATACGTTGCGTTTACATATATAGTCCATAATTATTAAATTTCACTTCCGCCGCGTCAGATTGCATAGCGCTGCATCAAATTCACTGCATCACTAACGTAAAACATAACTTCGCTTATATATCTTCTCTCGATTATAATGTCGCTCTATATACATTTATACAAATTCCATCGTAATCAATCTGCGATCACTGCGTAAGAAACTACATTCGCGATTACAATTCGTCGCGATTGCATCCGGCCGCCGATATAATTATAAACTTACATTCCTTTAATCGCACTTGAGCATCGCCCGGAGAAGATACCTTCTCCACTTCGAAAATTGTCCTTTCAAAGCGCAGCGTGTTCTGGAATAAACAGACACCGAAAAGAATTTCGCTTCTCGCGGCTGATGCTTTTAAGCGATCGATCCTGATTTATCCCAATATACACTGTAATTAGAGTTATATGTAACCTACGCTAACTTACACTTTAATCGTTTAGCATAACTTTTTAATGTTACCCATGCGGGAATATGAATGAGCCAGTTCGCGAGTGTCAGGATCAAATACGAGATGGATAACTTTGGATGACTAAGAATCGCCTTGATACATCATGCGGAGAAATTTAAATAAAACTTAAAGTTTATTTTAATTGAAATTAATTCAATCTGTTTCTTACTTTAATTCCATGGCATGTGGATCGGAATGAAAAATAAATCGGTCACACAAATTGAAAATTGCTCGCAGAACTGGCCTTATAACGTAGGTATAATAATGTACATAGTTGTATGTCGCATGATATGTATTAGTTTACGTTAGAATAGGTCGGATGGATAGATCGGGAAGTTTCCCGCGTGATTCGTATGAAAATTTATGAATCGCCTCCGATCGCAACGAAGCCCTCATTTATCACGGTTGCGAATAAACAGGACTTCATCGCGTCGATGCACGCACATCGTTACGCCTGCATGATTGTATGCCGATGAAAAATTGCGCATAAATCATAATCGATACTTGAGCTCATGTGTTGGCCACTTCGAGGTTTACCTAAAACGATATCTATTTTTCGCAATAAAAACACACCTGATTACAATTTAATTTCTATAAAATTCGACATAAATCTCCAATAATCACAATATCGATTTGACAATACAATTCCTCTGAGAGAATTCCTCACCTCAAGCGTTACAATAATTATAATTTGACATTTTTATTTTAACGAGATAATCTGGCGATATAAAAGAATTTGCAAACATCAAGAATACATATCAATATAGATACAATATAGATACAATATAATTTAACTAACATGCATCTCTTTTCCACCACCACGCGAAACTAATATATCCTTAATTAAAAAGGAAGATATAAATTATATTTGTATGAGAAGCAGAAAGGAAAAAGCTTTCGAAATCTTTTTATTGGATTTACGTTGCTTTTATTTTTTATCTTGCTAGCAAATTCTTTTTATCAGACATCGTGTTTTCAGAATGAAATAAAAATATTGGATCATTGATATACAAAAAGGCAAAAGTCAAAAGATATTGTTTTAAAAAAATAGGATGGGATAAAGTATTTTTCATAAAAAATTATATTTCTCTTTGCACATACGAGAAACAAGTTAAGCAAAAACCGCGTTCGTGGTGGAGCGAGAGGTAACTGATTAATTCCTTTGCACGTAAGGATTGTTTTATTCGTAACACTTTAAAGGAACAGAATCACATATCTTCGTCATTCTTCGTGAAGATATTAATCGCGGCTACAAATCATGGGATGGGTAGCCTGTCATGTGTTCGCATGATGCACACAGGAGGATGCACTCGAGAGAAGCAATTTAATTCCCGTTTGGAAAACACAAGTCAAGCTTTATAAAAATACTATCAACAGCAATATATATGTATAATAACGTATACAATTTTTAAATATACTCGGCAATTATATATTCAGTAATAATTACGAGGCCATTGTTAATACGTCGATAACATACGCGCAGCACTTTGTCATCATAGACAAGGGAAGGCACGCGTATAATCGATTCTCGTTAATTCTGCGAAACGAGACATACTTAATTAATATCCACTCTCCGAGACCCTTCTCCTGGCCTACTTATGAGAATGCACCTCATTAATTTATATTCTCATTTAGATTGTGTAACAAACCCTAAAGTATATAAGCGTCCCTTCTGCTTTTTGATATCTTGTACTCTATAACAATTAAATGCAACCACTGTTCAATTTTTATCTATAAATATTATATATATGTATATATAATTTTATAATTACATAATTATAATAATCATCTTACTGTATCGTTCTTTTCAACACTGAAATAAAGACAGTCTCAATATCGCCGAGTTACAAGCAAAAATAATACAATAGAATTATTTTAAAATTTTAATGTTTCTCTCAGTAAAGATATATAATATATACACATATATATATATATATATATATATATATATATGTGTATGTATATATGATAAAATATTTTCTGCAATGAAATTACGTCTATAAGATACGATCAAGTAATATTGTATCTGTAATATAAACATAGAATACGTATATTGTGTATTATCAAATATAAATTAATTCGGAGCAAAATATGTAGAGCAAAGTAAAAAAAAAAAAAAAACGAGAATATGGAAGATTTATTAGACAACAGGGATCGTATAGATTACGTTCATTATAATTTCACATAATTATACGATAGACTAACTGAGCATTAGGAGTGATGCGTGTTCGAAATTATTGTACTATAATGTCACTATCGGTTTTCAGAATTAATATATTACAAATACCTACAACTCCGATATATATAATTTCTCATAAACTTTTCTGTTATATTATTTATCAGTACGCGTACCTGTATCTTTTGACACTATGTACATGCATAAATATAATCATATATACACATTGAGTACACATAGTGGGAAAAGAAAAAAATCTTAATGTCATAACGTGTTCTTATATGAGAATGTTGTATATAATAATGTTACAAAGAAATAATCAAGAGAACAAAATGTTTCTTACGTTATACTGTACAATGAAAAATAAAACTGAATCAGAAATAAAAATAAAGTAAGAATTCGAAAATCGCACTATATAGTATTAAAGAAAAATTATATCCGCAGTTATTGTTTTAGAATGTGTCAAATCTAACATTTAAATTGATAAATGTTGAAAAAGAATAAAAAAGCAAGAATCTCAATTCCTGGAAATGTTTGTAAAAATTATTCGAAAGAATATGTATTATCCGATAAATCTGTCATTAAGCAGTAATAAATTATTAGTCATAAAACGTTTGACTTTTCTTCTCTTTCTTCTTTTATGCACGTGCATGATCTATAAAAAGATCACTCATATCAGGAAGTACGAAAATGATTGACTCTTACACTACTCCCCTAAGTTTATATTTCATACAATATTTGCTCGCATGGATAATTTCTTCCCATACTTTCGGAACGTATTTGGAATATCCGAGGCTCGGATGTGCAGAAAGTCTGCATAATTTCTCTCTCGACGATATTGAATTCAATTAAATTAAGTAACTCTAACTTAAATATATATATAATATATGTATATATCTTTTTATAGAATACGTATCTCTCCATTCATTTAAGCATCCGAGATTCTCGGGTATCCGAGAAGTATAAATATTTTATATAACATTTTGTAAATTTCTACAACAAAGCGTACAAATACGTGGAAATTTCATAATTAATGACGATAAAGACCAAAAAAAAAAACAATGCATCTCGATGTTTTTTTCTACAACTCACTTTGTATAGTCCTTTAAAAGGAATATAAAATACGATACAAAGTATGGAATATTCCATGCGATTCTGCGTTACTGTGCCACGTATTAAACTTGTAAACGAAGCTCGGTGCGATGCACAATCAATTGATCATAAGTGATATTACGTCACCTGTTTTTTTTTCTATATCCTCCAACAATATCGATTGTTACGCGAAAACAACGTGCTTCGTTTATGGAAAGACAATATTCCTGCCAGAAATACAGTTTTTAACAAATATTTAAGCGTATCTTAAATAATTAACTGCAGTATATATGGTGCCGAAAATCAACAGTATGTGAATATATTTATATATTATTACCGATATACTGTAATATACTGTTCGATACCATCAGCGCTAAGGATCTCCTTATTTAGAATACTTTTATAGTTATCTCTCTTGCATTCGTCGTCAGACTCGTCCCTATAAAAAATAGCGGATCGTCGTAGTTTATATAAAATAATAGCAGCCTTTGCAACAATTAAGTTTACGGATAACACGTATTCAATTCATACGCTATGTTACAATAGGAATTCATGTATGAAGTTCTTCTCTATGCTTACCACACGTTCTTACGGAAAAAAGATAACGAACACAAGGATAAGATAGTGCGATTCGTCGCTGAAAAAAAAAAGAAAAATCACGTAAGTTCTGCAACGCGTAATACTATCATTCGATACTGTTAAGATGTTGAGTGTTGGCACCATATTCTCTCTAACGCAAGTTACACGATACTTACTTTCTTTTTTATGTGTCGCCGCATTTATGCCGGATAGAATATCGTGTAACATTGATTGTGTTTTAAGATAACTCTAATGTCGGAACTAATTTATCTGCGTTTAATCATACTTGCATACGCTCGAGAGAATCCGGAGAGAATTACAAGATTTTTAATTACATCCCTCTTTTGTGTGATGTAAATTGTGTGTGTGTGTGTGTGTGTGTGTGTGTGTGTGTACCTTTTGCCTCATTAACATCTTTTCGCGTGACATCCTCACGTTAAATACTTTTCATATTTACATATCCACAAGATGTGGATAATTCCACATCTTCGTAGCTGTCTTACTCTTCCTTCTTTTTTTCTTAATGTCTTTAATAGCAATCCTTATAATCGGAACAAAAATCATGCGCAGTAACTCTAATATATATGATATATTCTCGTCTACGTATAATTTAATTCCGCAAACGTCCGCGTTTCGACGTAAAACATTTTATCACCCAATCCTCTTAAACTTTATGAGCCGTATATTAATCTAGCAAAATGTCCCATGCGGCTCTCAACAATACTTCTACGGTTAATACTTGTGACGTAATACGTTTCAAAATTTGTTAGCGATTAGTTTAGAATAAAGTTAGAGCGGACATTGCACGTCTTAATCATTAGAATTTATGAATATCCAGGGAATACTGTGCATGATGATCTCTATGTAACTTCAACAATAAGAAGATAAACTAGTCTTTAGTACTCCAACTGCTTGGTTGTACGTTTGCTCGATATTACTTTGAAAAACTATAAAAATTGTCCTAATCACGCTATAGGAATCGGTACACTCTCTCACACTTGGATGAGGAGTACACTATCAATGTAGACATGTAAATACAACTAGCTTGTTACGGAGTAAAAAATATTTCCAGAATACATTCCTACAAGTAAAAAAACCACGTTTTTCATAGAAAATTATTGTTACTGCGTATTATCTTTCTATCTCTAACAGCGAGTACAATTTCACGATAAGAAAAAAAAGATTGGAATGTTGCTACAAAAAATATGCGATGGCCCTTTATAAAGTGACCAGTCTAATGATTATCGATTTAATCGAGTTCATAGGAATGTCCATATAAAAGCAATGTCTCGATATTATTATTATCCGCGTTATCTTTTATCCGCGAGTTTAAGTGAAAATGTACATATAAGAGCTAGTCAACGGAAAAAAAAGGAGGTTATTACTATGTTTGGTATGACTTTTCCACAATGTAATTAATCTATAACTCAGATTATTCGCATTTCATACATATTAAAATACATCAATGTTGTGATTAAATCATGTAATCATGTGTAGAAAAAGGAATGGTTAGTTGCTAATATTTGGAAATATCAATCCGCTGCGCAAAAGAAATGGTACTGTAAAAATACCTAAAAGATCGATCAAAGCAGTCAGGTACGTTTTCACCTTTAGCTTTCGAACTAAAGGTTGCGGAAAATAACGTTACCCATCGACATGTCTATTCGCAGCACCATGTGTGAAAGAGAACAAGTTAACTTAACAATAGATATATGTGTGTGTGTGTGTATGTGTGTGTGTGTGTGTGTGTGTATGTGTATATATATATTTAGGTTGAATTAAATATTTTCGTATTTTTTAACAATATGTACTACACGAGACATTTACGTCCAACGATACTGTAAGTCTCGAGCTGTTTCTACAAAAATGCGTATCGAGTAATCGAATCAGAGGCAACCTTATCTTTTTAAACTTTGTGTTTTCGATGGTGGAGATTACTCCAAGATCTCGGAAAAAGAGTTCAAATCACATTGTTCAAATATGATTTGTTAATTTGTTTTCCATTTGAGGTCTCGGAGCGATTTCTAGCATCGTGGACACAAAATTTTAATAAAGAAGCTCGAATCGAGCTTTAGTTTAATGGAAGGCAAAATATCTGTTTTAGGAGACCTTTTCGCGGATTCTCATCCTCCATATCGTCATAGTCATTCTCGTCATAATTGCTAACAATCGCATTATTATTGCCTGGGTTGTAAGTTACGTCTGTAATACTTAGAGAACGAGAGTATGCCGGACTTTCGTATCGGAAGGGGAAGGGTGGTGGTAGCCGATGATGCTCGTTATAATTATTGTCGTTCTCATTCTCCTCCGAGTACGTCATAAGAAATACGTTATTGTGATAACCTTGATTACTTGAGCCGACAACGGGGAGTAGGGGATCGATACGAAGTTTTGCAAGTCTGTCTTGTAACTCATACATGTAGCACTGCTGCAGTTGATACTGTTGCTGCTGGTCTTGATTGTGACGCTGCACAATGAAAAGTGGCTCTTGTCACACGCAGTCCTCCAGTGACATTAATAGAGGATTCACATATTCAAAACCATCGAATTCACTCTGATCGATCTTCTCAATTTGTTTCCTGAAAATTTCCTTGTATGAATATTGCATTCAAAATTTATTTGACGATGATAATTTTTTTGATATAATAAGAACTTCATATAAATTTTTATAAAAATTTTTTTTCACACATTAAACTTTTAAATTATATAAATTTAGAAAACTCTGTAATGACTTACGGATCATCCGGAGTCAAACGGACTTCCTCATCCGTAAATTCAGGTGGGAAGTTTGCAAGATCGCGATCGGAATCCAAACGTGGCTTGTAAGGTGGTGTAACTTGTTTTTGCTCCAGCTGCGAAGTTAAAGAAGGCGTTAACGAGATTTTTTAAATTAATTAAGCTTTTGTATTTACAATACTTACCATTTCCCAATCAATTGCTTTAAAGAAAGGATGAGCGACAATGTCGAGGAAACCAGAAGGCCTCTTTCCACAACCCAACCTTTCCGCCGGATCTTTGCAAAGAAATCCTTTAAGAACAGATGCAGCCTTAACAGATAAGGATCGCGGTATACGTATGGTTTTCTCCAGAATGACTTGAAATAGAAAATCCTCGGTGTTTTTGTCTGGGTCTTCGGCCGCGCCAGTAAGATCGAAGGGGCTACGGCCTGCCAACATCTCATACAATAGGACTCCTAGAGCCCACCAATCCACTGAAAAACTGTATTCCTCGCCACGTAAAATCTCAGGAGCAATATAATTAGGAGTGCCGCAAAAGGTACCGGTGTTGTCGCCTTCCCGGATGCCTTCCTTGCACATTCCATAATCCGTAAGTTTAACGTGCCCTTCATGATCAAGTAATACATTATCCAGTTTTAAATCCCTATATATAATACCTGAAAGTGAACGATATTTTTTGAATTTAATTGCATGTTTCATCTCCTATCAATTTGTTGAAAAACAAAGAGAGGGAATTTTTACCCTTTTCATGTAGGAAATTTAACGCCAAACTAATCTCAGCTACATAAAACCGCGCGTGATCCTCAGGAAGACGGCGCTGTCTTTGCATGTGAAACATAAGATCCCCACCACGTACAAATTCGATCACGAAGAACAAACGCGAAGGCGTTTGGAAGCAAGAGTGTAGGCCCACTAAAAAGGGATGATTGGAGGCTGTCTCGAATACGTGTTTCTCTGTCTGTACCCAATCGATGTCCTCGTCGTCTGTCACCAGGGACTTCTTGATTACCTTCATGGCGTAAATCCTCTTGGTACGCTTCAGCTCCACCATCAAGACCTTTGCATAGGAACCACGGCCGATCACCCTAATTAACTCGAAGTCGTTCAACGAATACTGTCGTTGCATGTCGTTTGAAGTATCACCCTCGTTCAATGTGTCCAATGGTAATTCTTCCCCTTCTTCATGTCCGATTCCTACAAAATTATAAATATAAAAAATGTATTAATAATATTAAATAAATAATATTTTAAAATGTATTAATAATATAAAAGAAATGCAACAGTACAGAAAGAAATCATTTAAAAAAGTATCTTCTAATCATATATAAAATAATTACGTTTTTTAACATAATTATTAGAAAATGCATAAGATATATTATCTAATATACAAAATGATATAAATGAATTATTTCTTCGTACATATTACTCCTACTGCAACAATATCTTCACAGCCAGAAAATTATAATTTATTATTTTTTTTTGCTATAAAAATATCATTCATTCTTTTACTATAAAAAATGTTGAATATCGCATAATCAATATGTTTAATGAAGTTATCTTACGATCGCGCGAATGCTCCTCAATGATTGGCGATTCTGTGACCTCATCCTCGAGATGAGTCGCTGGGCCGCAAGGATACGGATCAAGCTGTTGGTCGCCATTTCTGTCGATCGTCTGTGACTCGGCGCTCTGCTGCTGCTGTTGCTGCTGGCTCAGGCATGGCTTGCGTACCACCTTGTGACATTTTTTGTGCACGAGCAGTTTGCATTGGATGCACTTGAATCCCTGTCGTCCGAGGCCCCAGATCCGATCCTGGCAGAACGCGCAGAAGGCCCTCTGCAAATAAAATCAAACGAAGGATATTATATTGTATTACTTCTCCAATTAGCCATTAGAGGTGTATCGCGGCATTCCGCGAGGTGGAAGTCAAGTATTTAAGCCTCACGCAGCGATAAACACATGCGACGCTCCGACTTCAAACATCCCGGAACCAAAGTCTAAGACAAATGATAATTAAGTTTAAGTATCCGCTCTTAAACGCAGCAAATGCTCTTCTTCTAAGAGCTGAGGTAAAGTAAAGTACATTGGAGAAAGGAAGAGGATGAGAACAAAACGAGGGGATTATGTGCGAGGCAAGATTGAGTTTGCACGTGAACCTAGTTTCATAAGGACGGCAACTTTACATTTCCAGCAACACAGTCGGAAAGAGGAAGAGAGGGAGGGAGGGAGGGAGGAAGAGAGAGAGAGAGAAAAGACGAAGAGAGCAATGTTCTCTTCGGTTCCCTTCGTCGACAACGAAGTCACTAGCCAGCAAGTTTTAGTTGGAAGTGCTCTGCACAGAACATCGGTTTCGTCGGTCGCATTGTACCTGCGACAGTAGGTATAGTCTTTCGCAAAAATTGCATATGAAAGAGAGCAAAGCGAGAGGGACCAAGGGTTGATGAATAAAGTACAGGTTGCGCAATGATAATTAAATGGAATGATGCTTACCCGATTAAATCGTTTCGCTTGAAAAATATGGCCATTCACTCGGTACAGCTTCCTCCATCTACGAGCGCCACGTCTGTAGATGCTTCCTTCGGAAAATGAAATAACATAAATGTCACAATGATGGAAAGCATCAACTGATCGATCAATTCGCCGCGATTGACTTCCGCGATCCATCTGTGTCAAATGACGATGAAACCTCATTATAACGAAAATATAATTAGCATCTATTAATTATTAAATGAACTACTAATATTAATCTCTATAATATAATAATTAATTAAATTATTTTGTGACTTATTCTATTGACAAAAAGAAAACCAATGGAACTTTAACTGTCCTCTTTAGATATAGTTTTATATTTCGGTAACAATTTCCTCCAAATATTTTCTCAGCACTCTCTTTATAGAAACGCTTACATAATATCTTGTAAGATGAATAATAGTAGATTATATTATCCATATAAAGTTTTCAGTCGATTCGTTCAAGAATTTTATTTTGATAATGAAGTTTCGTCGTCGAATATTAATATCGAATAACTTTGCAAATTGATTTTACGCTACCATCCTCTCTTCTTTCGCCTGGTCATGACCGATCGCGCAATCGAACAACGTGCGGCTTCATCGCAACGAACGAAGCGAATCGATGCGAACGGGAAAGAACAACATTTCGTGCGAAATGTGTTTCATGCAGCGTTGACGGAATACACGCGGGAATGAAGGTAAGTTTGTACAACTCTAAAGGATTCGGAGAAGAATTACGATTGATCGGATTTGATTCATGCTTTATACACGAGCGATCGCCGAATATCGGCTCCGATGTCAGGGACTTGAGGAAGCCTCGATGAGAATTATTCGCATCCTTGAAGCGACTCAGAGCAAAAGCATTTTTCCAATCACTCTGACGCAGTTATTTCCAGATTTCCAGGTTTCCTCAGGTCATCGTGACATCGATGGAATCTCTGGTAGCCATTCGGCGACTATCGAGCGACTATACAAGGAACAAATGTGTTTTAAGGTTTCTGACTTTTCGTTGCAGCGCATTAGTGGCATTCATGTGCATTCTTTACTTCATCATGCATTTAGAAAAATTATTTTAATCAAAATTCATTGAATCATAAAAAATTAATTCAATCGTTACAATATTATAATGTAATTCAATCTTTGCGTGTCCTATATTATAAGAAAAAATAGATCTTACAACTAATCAAAATTTCCCGTTATCGGTTAATTCACAAACTAAATAGACATGTCTTATAAGTCTTTTATCGAACACGAAACGTAATATGTAAAAAGATAAATATAAGTTCAATCTTTCGCAGCTGCACCGAAGGATCAGGAGCCTTGGAGCTTTTTCGATGTGTAACGCATGTGTCGATGTCATGAAGATTGTGATTGAAAATTGTGTCGAAGGGAGAGCTTTGATAGAGAGCAGGGTATCGAGAGATGAATGTTCCTTCTATGGTTCTTCTGCTTCCGCACGTAACGGAGTTACGCGTCGCATCTATTATCACGCGCTAATCGTTTCTTTCCACCGAACGGTTAATTAGAACTCGCTGGCTAGTACGCAATGGCTAATGTACATCGAGCGCAAGCGAGGAGCTGCTCGACTCGGCCGGCGACTGAGACGTTTCCAATGAACAGTAAACACACTCACTGTCTTCTCCCTGGCACGGCATCCCGGGAGCAGGCGGCACGTTCGGAAAAACTGTAACAAAACAGAAAGAATTCACGTTCGCTTTGCTGTCAAAACGTAACGTTCTCCTCTCTTCAGCTTCCGTTCAACAAAATTTTGGAAATACGATGGAAATAAATCTCAAGTTTCTACTGTCGAGTCAAACAGTAATTCTCATTTCTCTCCTACCCCACCGTCCCATATCGTATACATTTAATAAAAAGAAATTAAATTAAAAAAAAAACTCTAACAGGATTAATGGATTATGACACGCGATATCTGAGATGAAGAAATGATCTATGTACAGTGCTACGTTAATAATTAATAATAAAGCTGCTGAGCTAGAAATATCTAGAGGAAGATGCTGCGAAATCATGCTTCCTAGTAACAAAGCGATCGATGAATTAAGACTGCGTATTTAATTCATCGACGAGACATCGAGTCGTCGATCGACGCCACTCCCGCTTCCATCTCGTCAAGGGAAGATTTATATCGGAATCGGTAAAGTGTCGAATACGAACTTACATGGGAAGCAATTCGAGTACCGGAACCCGATCGAGATTCGCTGTTCGTTGTCCAACATACTGTGTGTACTGGCTGCCTGTGTCCTAGTCAGTATCGCTCCGGTTACGGTCAGATAACGAGTAACACTGAATTCTATCCGTACCATCAAGCGTCGCGTTATCATTCACTTATCGCGAGAGGGCAAG